CCACTACCACCTGGTCTGGCCATGAATCCCTTCAGTCATCCATCCTCTCTCTCTCTTCCAAAGAGACCTTGGAGACCATGTGCTGAAGGCAACAGCACCACTAACTGGAAGGCGCCTGGATCCCTGAGTCACCACCTAGAGGGGAAATCCCAAGTCGGACTATGAAATGAGCTAGAAATAAACATTTTAATAAGTCACACTTTCATATATTTTCATATATTTCATTTATGTGTTTCTGAGTGATGATTTGTGCCATGCTTTGTATCCCTCCCTCTGCCAATAGAACACTGTGTAAATTACTGTAACTTTAAAAAAATGTTTGAAATCTGATAGGGCCAAATCCAGGGTCAAGAGACTGATGAACTCCTCTAAGACAAGGGCAGTTTCTCATTTCTTATCCGGAGGCTTAGTAAGTACTCAGCAGTCATTTGTTGAGTGAAACAATGAAGCCAACTGAGGAAGTAAGAAAGACAAAAGGGAAAAGCAGACAAGAAGGGCCATGCCCCACCCCTCTCCAAAGACAGGTGTCTGGAATGCTGAGGCTGCTCTGGTAGGGTATAAGCCAGGGGCTCAAGTCAGAGTGGGAAGAAGGAGGGAGAGTTTAAAGCTAGACCCCTCTTCTCTGCCTCCCAAAAAAGAAAAAAAATGACATAAGGCTTTGGGAACCAAAAGCTGGAGGAGCCTGGAAGCAAAAGCTGAAGCTCTGTCAGCTCCCCAGCAGTTCACACCCTGAGACAATCCTCCCACCTCCAATCCCTGAAGAAGCTGCCAAGAGCTCCAGGCAGAGAAAGTCGTCCCAGCATGGCCCCACCTCAGAAACACCAGGCAGCACTAGGGAAGCAACAGAGTGACTGGGGGGAAAAAAACAACTATTATATCTGAGATATTTTAAAATTCCACCCTCAAGGCAGCATCCCGTTGCTACAGCAACCCTAGATCTGCTGGGAGCCTCCTGATTACCAGCTTGCTCACTGTACCTGCCCCAGGCAGCCAAGAAGTGTCCACGGGAGGCCAGAAGCTGCTGCCACCAAGGGGAACACCAAGGCAGTGTCCCTCCGTTCTGACTCCCAAGGCAATGACTAGAGACCCCCAAGGTGATTCTCTGTTCAATGTGAACACCTGATGGTACAGTATTATAAATATGAGCTTACTTCCTTTTCAAATTGACTTACAAAGTCTTTGCACTCGGTTCAATCAAAACATAGAAAGGTAATATTTCACTCACATTGGGGCTGAGCAAATGAAGCAGTTGGCTGTGAGTCTCGGTTCCACCGCTCAGAGCCCCTGAGAGACAAGATTGGCATTGGAGCTGAGCGGCTGGTCCTGAGCTCTGACATGGACTTGGAAGAGCTTCGATCTTTAGGAAACCCACACAAGAAAGGGAGAGAGAAGGCCACAGAGCCAGAATGACTACCAGCCAAAGGGACACAGCCAGAGGCAAACAGACACAAAGACACACTGTTGTTCTGTCACCTCAATCTGGAGCTAAGGATTCTCGACTCTGGCAAGATTCCTCCCACATAGCCATACTTGGTTTTATTTTCCACCTCACTTCTGCGCTCACCTGTCATTCTATATGGTAAACTCAACCTATTTGGCCCAAGGAGAGCTCACCTAGGCTCTATCCACAATAGCAGCTGCTCCCGGACATAATGCAATGCTTGGAGGAAGGGCAGTGGGCTGGCTAAGGGTAGGGAGGGTCTTTGGTGCATATCTTAGGAGAGCACTGGGATCAGAGTTAGGAGATTCACCTTTAGGCCCAGCTCCTTCATTTACTGACTTTGGACACATCATCATGAAAAGCTGAACTCCACGAAGGCAGGCATTGTGCCAATGACTTGGTCACTGCTGTGGCACCTAGAATGGCGCTGGGCATAGCAGCTCTTCAATAAATATTTCTAAAATGAAAGAATGGTTTCTGCCTTGATGCCCTTGTGCATAAACATGGATAGATAAGAATAGTCTCTCTCCATTAGAGGTTTTGTGAGGCTCTCACAAAATGTGGGCAAATGTGTTTTAAAATGCTTTGGAAAACATTAACTGATAAGCAAAGGTAAGCTGGCAAGACCGTTACCCAACCCAGCGGCTCAGGTACCTGTCAGGCAAGGCTTTTCAGAGGCCAGGGTTTCACCCATTTCCTCAGAGCTCCTGAAGAAATAATCAGTTACCTGCCTTCCAGGTCCCAGGTGCTGGAGCTGAACTCCCAGTGGCCTCCTCAGTCCCCATTCCATTGGCCTTCCTTACAGACAGACCCTGACTGTGTCTGACCAACAATGTGCCCCCCGCCCCTTAAAGCTGCTGGTGCCCATGTGACCCAGCTGGAGTCAACTGGAGGGAACTGCAAGTCCGAAGGTGGAACTTCTGGGAAAGTTCTTTAAAGGATCTTCGCCCTTTCCTCCTCCTCCTTGGAATGTGGATGAGGCCTGAAAGTATACCGGTACCACCTTGTAACTGGACAAACATACACGCAAAGGACGGTGGCAGAGCACCTGAGTCCTTGATGACACCCTTGAGCTGCTTCCCCAGTCTGAAACGCCTCCCTTTGAATTTCCTGTTTACAAAACAAACCTACCATATTTCCCCATGTATAAGACACTCCCATGTATAAGACACACCTTAATTTTCGGACCCAAAATTTGAAAAAAAATGTATTACATAAAGTTATTGAACTCAAGTTTTATTCATCATAAAATTCATACAACTCCTCATCACTGTCAAAACTCCCAACCATTAGCTTGTTCTCATCTGTGTCTGATGACGAATCACTGTCATCATATATTGCCTTTCATGGCCTTCTGCCGTGGCGTTTTCAGTAGGGTTTCTTCGTCCCGTAGTCAGTCTCAGATTGTTTTCTCAGTTGGTGGAGGACCAAACTTATGTTCAGCAGCACGATTTCCATTCACTTTTGCAAATTGGATCACTTTTAACTTGAATTCAGCACTGTACGAAAATCTTTTCTGAGCCATTTCTGGGCAGAACGTGGCAAAACGTAACCTAATATACCGGTAACAAGTGCGAAACAATGGGCGCAAAGACAACAAGCGCGAAAAAGCGGGAAATGCTAGTAAAAAAAATCTATAACCACTGTATAAGACGCACCCAGTTTTTAGACCCCAAATTTTTCGAAAAAGGGTGCATCTTATACATGGGGAAATACGGTATTGTTCAAGCCACTGTAGTCAGATTTCTGTAACAAGCAGCTAAACAAAATCCTAAATGACACAGTACTCTACCTAAAATAGTTCCTTTACAAAACACGTCGCCAATGCCAATGTTACAGATGAGAAAGCAGAAGCTTGGAGAAATGAAGGAAACTGTCCAAGGCTATCTGGCTAGTGAGTGGCAGACCTGGGATTTGATTCCAGGTCTGTCTGACTCCAAGACCCATATTCTTTCACTTTGCCATACTCCCCAAGGGAGAAGAAAGGAAAAGGAAACCACGTTTGTGTCTAAGGACCCTATAGGAGTAGCATAGGATCTGCAGCCCCACCAAGGACCAGGCATGTAGGTGTGGGGATACAGGGAATCAACATGGACAAAGTCCATGGAGCTTGTGCTTTAGAATAAGACATTGAATAAGGGGTAAATATAGGTCATGGAGTGATAAGGACAAGGGGAAAAATTGAGCAGGAGGAATTTTTAATAGGAAGTTGAGGGAGTCTCTTTGAGGCTACATGTACACCATCTTTTTTTCCCCACTTTCAAGAAGTGATAAGAAAAAAGAAGGGATGAAGCAAGGCTTGAGGATCCTGGAAGTGAGGCAGAGGGAGCGGCAAGTGCAGAGACCCCAGGGCAGGAGTGTGTATGGGGGAACAGCAAGAGAGTGAATGTGGCTGGTATGAAATGATCTAAGAGGAAGTGGGAGGGTTTGTGCTGCAGTGAAGAATTTGGGCTTTTACTCTGAATGAGATGAAAAGCCACAGGAGGGCTGTGATCAGAGAACAATTCAACCTTATGATCTGACTTCTGGGCCAATGAGTGCAGAACAGCTGAGGGAGGGAAAGGATGAGACAGAGACCAGATTCCGGGCTGCTACAACAGTCCAAGCACGAAGCCAGTGGCCTGGGCCAGGGTGGTGGTGAAGGCTGGACAGTGCTCACTCTGGGTCCATTCAGAGGGCAAAGAGGACAGGATTTGCTGATGGGCTAGGCTTGGAAAACGACAGAGAGAGGGAAGACCAGGATGAGTCCAAGCCTCAGCCTACAGGAGAAGGAAGGAGCCGCTACTGTCTGGGGCGGGGGCCGGGGGGAGCGGGGGAACTGCAGCAGGACTGATTATTCGGAGTGCTCCATGAGTATGACAGGCTGCATTTGGTTGCGGGTAGGGGAAACTCTGATGCTTAGTGAGCAGCTCATCACTGTCTCCTTTCTGTAATAATGGTCTTCATTCAGCCTCTAGGACACCAGATCTCAAGCCCCCTCCTATTTCACTGGCCACTCTCTCAACCTCCTTTACTCCCTCTCCTCTAACAACTACTAGGTATCTAAATGGAGGTGTCAAGAAGTCAGTCAGATACAGCCAAATAAAGAGTGTTTTAAGAAGAGGGGAGGGAGTAATTGGCTTGTCACAGCCAACGACTGCTGGGGAAAGACGAGGGTAAGGACTGACACGGGGATTGGCAAATGCAAGGTCACAGGTGACAGATCAAGAAAAAATGGAAATGGATTACTCCTGGAGGGAAGAATGAAGGAAATACATACTTTCTAGAATCACTGTAGGAAAAGCTTCTTCCTTTAGAACCAACCATAAACAAGATACTTTTTCTTTTTCCAGTCAGGGAAGTTACTAAGTATATGCCAAAGCCTGGGCATAACTTATTCCTAGACAGACTTGCTTCACAGTCCAGACGGAGGTGGGAGGAACACAGAGGTGGGAAAGGAGACGTCAGCACCTTATGGGAGTGAAATGCTACCCATCTCTTTGCCTCAAGGTCACCCACACCACTCACTATTCTTCCCCCACAAGACTTTTTAGTACATTCCAGATAGAGCTTCACAAGAGACGGCATAATGAATATTTATTATGATTATTTTAATTAAAAAAAAAATAAGCCCAAGTCTTTGGGCAATAAGCTGAAATACAAAAAAACAACAAAAAACGTAGCATCTGAGTGTTAGTTACACACCTTGCTGGCACGCAGGCAAAGGTCCTGCAGAGATCTCCGTATTACCTCCCCTTTTTCCAGAAGTCCCTACTGAAATGAGGAGGAAACTGAGGCACAGAGGTAAAGGGACTGGGCTGAGGTCAGACTGCCAGGAGAGGCAGGCAGGAAGTAAACCCAGGAAATCCTGATAGTCTATCCAAAATGCTACCCAGGGTACAATTCTGTGGCTACTTCCAGCAGGAGAAAAAGCCAGTGTCGACTTCTGAGTGACCAGTAGTATCACAGCAGTGGGCAGCAGGAAAAGCATCCTGGGAGCAAGCCCTAATGTGATGCCCAGTGATGCAGGCCAGAAGACAGCAAAAGTGACTCCCCACAGCTCAGGGCACCCTCCCGCCCTGTCTCCAGTGCATGGTCCTCTCTACAAAGCCCAGCCCTCCTGGTGGAAAACCAGCCGCACAGCCTCATCCACATCATTCACAATGTGGGATGCCTCCATGAGCTCTGGGCTGAAGCTGAAGTCTCGGTGCCCGTGGAAGGGAGGTTCCTCTCCGTCCTGGGCAGGCTCTGTGGACCCTAGGGCCTTGGGGCTGTACACACCAGTGCACACCAGGATGGAGGTGCAGCTCTGGGCTGCTGAGGGCCGCTGCTTCCACAGGTCGCCGGCTCCCAGCTCCTTTGCTCTATCGTGCTGCGCCATCTGCAGATATCGGTGGAACAGGTTGGCACCGTAGACATCAGACATAGGGTTATCACTGGCAGGGGCAGCCATACCGGAAAAGGAAAGAAGAGAACACCCAAGTTCAGTGTAGTATGGCACAGAGCACAGTGGACCGTTGTGGGGTGAGGAGTGTGTGTTAGCTACAGGGAAAAGGGCCGGGAGCAGGGAGAGGGAGAGAGGGGCAGTCCTGAAAGGGTGGAGGAGATGGACAGAGCTTACCCTACAGCATAGAGCTTCTGGATGGGGGCGACCCAGCCCCGCCTTTCCGCCTGCTGCCTGATCAGGTCCTCTGCATATTGGTAAGTGAGGATGCTGGGTTTGCCCATCAGGCCCTCGTATCTCAGCTCTCTGCCTGTCACTTTGCGGTAAATGGTTTCCAGGCACAACAGAAAGGTGCCGTGGCCAAACCTGCCAGAGAAGACAGCTCAGTCTTTCCTCCTGGGCTCTTCCAGGCCGCCTGCCATTCTCTAAGCAGCACCAGGCATACCAACCTTTTGTTCCAGGGCCCCAATGGTGACAGGTCAAAATGAAAATACTTCTAGTAAGAATTACACTCATTACCTATATTTATGACCTGCTATTATCTGATAACATTTACTGAGCACTGTTCTAGCACTGAAGATGACCTATCACATTTAACTCTCAGAAAAACCCCAGACTATTCTCATTTTACAAATGAGGAAATTGAGGCATAAAGAGATTAAGTAACTTGCCCAAAGTGAAAGCGTTAGGATGACATCCCAGGCAGTTGGACTCCAGAGACCTGAGTTTAAATTCTGCTCTAGGGCTGAGTGGCGCGTTGGTTAGAAGTTAGCTTGGGAGGCCAGCTCTGAGCAGCAGGGACCCGGTTCAGATCCCACATGAGGGCCAGTGACACTAAGCCCTCTACAGCCAAGATAGTGAACAACAGGTTGACCTGGAGGTGGGCTGCCATGAGTCGCTGGTGACGGCGCAGGCTGCAGTGGGGCTGGCTGGCAGCAGGTGTGAGTTTTTGTGAGCTGCCATGAGCTACTGTGAGTGGCTGTCCAATGGCCGGCAAGAGACTGCCTCACCCAGGAAGAGGGCAATGATAATACCAACATGGGCCAGTGAAGCAGTGTCCTCCACAACTAGACTGAAGAACAAAAGGACAGCAACTTGTCTGTTCCCCTCCCCCAACTCCCCAATAAAATCTTTAAAAAAATTAAAAAATAAAATAAATAAATAAATTCTGCTCTAGATCTGTGGCAGACCACTGGCTGCCGTTCTCCCCTTCTTTCTTTCTTTTTTTTTTTTTTAAATGGTTACTTTTTTTTTTTTAAGATTTTTATTGGGGAATTGGGGGGGGATGGGAACAGTGCTGGGGAATTGGGGGAAGGGGAACAGACAAGTTGCTGTCGTTTTTTTGTTCTTCAGTCTAGTTGTGGAGGACGTTGTTTCACTGGCCCAAGTTGGCACCATCATTGCGCTGTTCCCGGGCGAGGCCGATCAGTCACCGGCTTCTGGACGGCCGCTCACTGCGGCTGCTGGCCGCTCACGCTGGCTGCTGGCTACACACGGCAGCCCATGGCAACCCACTGCCACAGGGGCTGCAGCCTCTGCCGTCGCCGGCGACTCACGGCTGCCCAGCTCCAGGTTGAGCTGTTGTTCAGCATCTTAGCTGTAGAGGGCAGTGTCACTGGCCCTCATATGTGGGATCCGAACCGGGGCCCTCTGGCGTCCCAAGCCAGTTCTTAACCATCGCGCCACTCGGCCGGCCCTCCCCTTCTTTCTTGGTGCCAATTTTCAGCTGAACATATTGTTACCAGGTGTAAAAAGCTACACTTGCTTCCTCCACGGAAGGTAGGTGTGCGGCCATGTGACTGCACTATAGCCAGAGTCAATGAAATCAGAAATACTGGACTAAACTTTTAGGAAGTAGCCTTAAAACTGAGGCAGGGATGCCCTTCTCTACCCTCCCTATTCCTTCCTGCTGGATGGAATGCTGATGTGATGGCCGGAGTTTAAGCAGTTGTTTTGGATTATGCAGTACAGGGCTAAGCACTGCTCAGCAGGGAGTCAAAGAGGCCTATGTGGAGGACAGGTAGAGCTCCCACACAAGCCTTGGGCTGCCTACCCACACCTCTTTTACATGAGGAAGAAGTAAACATCTATCTTGTTTAAGACACTTTTGTTTTGGGTTTTCATCCTCTGCGACTAAACCAAATATGAATTGATACTGTACAATATATTGAAGTTACATTTGTGTCCTTTAGATAACAAATAGTTTTCAATTATTAGATGAAAGATTAATCTCAAATCTGGTTTATAAATTGAAATTTTCCCCTTACTATTCAGTTGGCAGCCTATATAACCAAACCTGCTTCAGTGTCAGAATACTCTACTCTAGGAAGAATACTTCAGAAAAACTACCTACTCTCAAGCTACAGAAATATACTTTAAAAGTAACAAGAGACAACACCATAATCCCCATCTCTTATGGGCTGCTGAGTCACGTGACTTGATGCCCTGCTGCCCTACTGACGGATCACTCACCCAGCTCACTGGGAGTCAGTGGCGTGAAAGAAAACTAGACTTTGGCCTTGCAGATAAGAGCAGCCAAACAGTCATCGCAGTCGTCAGCTGCCCTTCCAGGAAGGCACCTCCAGCGTCAAAAAACGGCTGCTTATGCTGTGCTCAGTCTCGACAAAGGACAGGACCTGTGGGGTCTACACAGCTGAACAAGGTCTGCAAGCTGCTCATTACCCATGTGCCTTTGAGAAAGTCACTTACCTACTGGGTCTCAGTTCTCTGGTCTATACAAACACCAGAACAATTCTCACTTTCCCCTGCCCTGACCTCTTAAGGGCAAAAGGAAACAAAGAAGTGAAAGAATCAATGCCACAGGGTGAGGGCTTGGAAGGAGAAGCAGGTGAATCATTTGCACTGATACACCTCAGAAGCTGACCATTTGGGTTCCTCTAGTCAAACAGAACATGTTCTGTTGAGATTCTGGAGGGCAAGGGCCCTTGGTTAAAGATTATCTCAATACATCTTCAGTGCTCAGGTAAGCTGCAGTTTTTGTTTAATAGTCAATACTTGAAGGACCCCTGAAACCCCTCCCAGAAGGTCAAGTTACTGTGACATCTACAGGGCCTACTCAAGGACGGGTCTGAAGGCCCCGACTATGAAATGACAGTGCGAAACTGTAGGTAGGACTGCTCAGGCAGGAGCTGGAAGAGGGCCACCAGGGTCAAGGCTGGGGGCTGTGTGCTCACCTGGGCATCTTGGCTTCAGCCATCCAAAGGAGATCCATGTTACTGGCCAGAACAGGCAGATGGGGATAGGGGGCCATCGCCAGACCAGTCCCAGGGTTCCCATCACTGAGAAGGACATCCATGATCAGCTGCAGGCTTGTCTCCCAGCGGACTGGCTCCCCAAGGAGCAGCACCCCTTTAAAGAGCAAAGGCACAGGGATAAGGGTGTAGGTCCTTAGCCAGCCCTCTGTGGTGGGCAGTTGGAAGGCCCTCAGGAGACCTGAGGCCAGCTGGCACCCCCCAACCACAAGGTCTCCCCCACAGTAGTCGCCCTGGCAAGGGCACAGTTCCCTCAACCAGCCTTGAAAGAGCCACTCATCCATCCACCCAAGGTGACCAAAGCCCAGGACCCAGGAAGGCACCTCCAAAGGGCTCCCTTGTCAGTGTGACCACCGTACTTCATAGAAGAGGTTAAAAACAAGACAGGCAACAGCAAGTCCTGCCGCTTCCTCTTGCTGACTGCCCTTCTCTGCACCACCTGACCCACAGGTACTTGGCAAAGGGCTCCCCTTCCTCAGCCACTGCTCCCTGAGTCCCAGGGGCCAATAAACCTAACATCCAGGAGAGGGAGATTTGGAGTGACAGAGCCCTGAATTCCAAGGCTGACTCTGTCAACTGTACTCTGTGACTGTGGGCAAGTTCTTTACCTTCTCTAAGCCTCAGTCTCCTCGACCGCTTACTAACAACACCTACTGTTGTTATGAGGATAAAAATGAAATATAATAAATAAAGTACTTAGCCCATGCTGGACATACAGCACTCAACAAATGGAAGCTGCAGCATCAGCTCTGACACTAGTGAATTGAGCCACTGCTGCATAGGGAGGTGTTTTAGAAGTTGGAGGATGTATTTTATACTCACAATAACTGACACTTCAGGTTAGGACTGGGAGGGGCCAGGGATGCTAGCTCCTGTGCAATCAAAAACTGCCCCACATCTATTAACATTTGAAAGTGTCCCATCTAGCATTCACGAAGGTAAACCACCTCTTTATGACTAAACCTTAATTCCACTTTACATTTTTGGTAGTTTTAATAAACACTGATTTTTCCAAAAATGCAACTATCACATAAATCAAGAGAAGGCTGTGCTATATTTTTTCAAAATTTTACCAAGAATGGGAGGCGAGTTATCACTTTGTGAAGGGTGTAAATGTTTGACTATTACATTGTTTTGTACACCTGAAACTAATTTAAAAAAATAAAAGGAAAAAAATTTTACCTATTTTGCAAAATCACTTCACCAATGACAATGTTGTCCCTAATTTCTGAGTCACTAATCAAACACATCTGTATCACACCTAGAAGCACATTATCAGTCTGCATTTGTAGCCGTAACTGGTGATTCATGGTGATTCTATGTTTGGTACAATCATTTTACTTCACTTTGTCTTTTTGGATAATTATTACATATTGAAATACAGATTACCTTACTAAAAATTTTTTCCTTTTATTTCTCCCTATTACAATTAGGGCTTTATATTGAACTAATTAAATTTTAATATATGTGTATGGAAAGGCACATTATCTATGAATTTCATTTCAGGTTAGTAAAGGGGACACTGCAATATTTTTGTTACACAAGGAGAGAACTGGGTTTAAAGGGGCACTGGATTAGATTACATCTAGTACCTTTCTACGCTAAGATTTTCTAAGCTTACGATTTTTCTGGAATAATAAGGCAAGTGACATGGGGAAGGAAAGATTAACAACAGATATCTCAGAGGTAGTGAGTGGCAAGTCCGAGACCAGACCCCAGTTGCCTAATGCCCAATGCCCAATGCCACCGGGCTACTCTGCAGTCTGCAGGCGAACAGTCATGCTATGACAGCCTGGGAGGCCTGAGAGGAGAACAGAACAACCCAGACCCTTGCCCACACAAGGAGAGGACCTCAGTACCTTCAATGGCAGGGAAGTCGTTCCTTGGAAGGGGCTGCCAAGAGACAAAGAACAGTCCCATCAATGCAACGGTTACTTTCCACTACCGGACAATCACACACTGGTTTCCAAAGTGGGGTGAGAGGAAAGCTGCATTCCAGGCAGGATCGAAGACTACCCCCCTGGTCCAACCCAAGCTGAGGAGGAGCTGGAGAGGACTGAGGAAGAAGATTCATGAAGAAAGGTGAAGACAGAATGACCATGCTGAGGGATACCACATATGGAGGTCGGCCAGGAGGAAGGGCTGGTCAGCCGTCCTTCTCCAGCAAAGACAGGGGACAAGATACAGGCCAAGCAAAAGTCAGGTAGCTATGTAAGGGAGCCTATGGAGAAAAAGGAGGCCATCAGGCTGTGACAGACCATTTCTCCTGATGTCGGATTAGGACCCTTCACTTCACCAACCTCTTCCATTCCTTCCCCAGGCTGTTATAGTTTTGGCTCTGCCACTAACTCATTATGTGACCTGGGGTAAGTCACTTCCCTTGTGTGGGGCTCAGTCTCTGAGCTGTTCTGAGATCTGTTCCAACTCTGACATTCTGCTTCTCCACATAATCTGCATGGTTCTGGGAGGAAGCTCTCAAAGTGCTCTACTGAATTAAAAAGCTGCAGAAGGAGGGATAGTTATAGTTAAATAAGTAAATAAGTAAGCCTGTCTGTTTATGACACATTCATCACATTCTGACAGTGGTCTGGCTTAAAATATAGGCTGTGATATATGTGGAGTTCACATGAGGAAGAAGAGGCCAGGGGCTACCAAGAGATGGGCAGTCACACTCGAGAGGATCAATGAGAGGCCCTGTGACTACCAGTCAGAGAGAGAAAAAAATCAAACCAATGGTTCAAATAAATATGAGGTGAACCTAAAGACACATGCAGACACTCAGAGCTGCCCGTTACGTTGACCAGCAGGCAGCTTCCCACAAAGACAAGTCTTCACAGCATGCTTCAGGATAAAGTAGAGCAGTGTCGGGTTAACAACGGTTAATGATTCTCCCAAGCAACACTGGGAACACCAGAAGATAAGCCATAAAGCCTCTACCTGGAGGAGGTGCCAGGGCTCTGGAAGGTTCTCAGCTCAGCACAAACAATGCAGAAAGGAAAGCCCTAGGAGCGCTCTGGGCCTTCTGTGTATCTGGGGAACAAGTCCCTGGCCAAATGCGCCTCTTCATGGAGGAAGCTCTGCAAGACGGACAAGGTGCAGCTCTAAGCAGGAGGGGCTGCAAGGTCAGCAAGAGGAGCCGTGAAGGAACAAGCGGACACAAGTGAGCGCGAGCCCGGCGCTGCCCTCGTTACCGTGGTCTTTGGCCGCCGCTGGAGGTCCACCATGTCCAGCACAGGGAAGGCCGTCCGCAGCTCATCCACAGTAACCACGTTCTTGAAGCCCAGTCTAGACCACGGTCAGGGAAGCAAAGCTGGACAGTTCTGGGGAAAGACGCCTTTAAAGCAAGAAGAACCCACCAGTGCTGATCACACTGCCACCCAACCCCAGTGAACCTAGGAGCTCACAGAGCCCCGCAGGGCCAGCACCAAGCTTGATGGTGCTGGTCAGGCCTGCAGTCCGGGCAAGGCTGCACCCTCCACAGTGACACTGGCGGGCAGTCACTGGGCACACCTAGGTGCCGGGTGCTGTGCTGGACACTCCAGGGTGAGCAGCTCACCACGTGCCCAAAGCCCATCGAAGTCAGCACTCTGTGAACAGTGCTGCAGGTCAGAAGAGTGACTGCTCAGTGGCTTGGGCGGCTGGACAAAGGGTCTAGAGAAGTTCGAGTTGAGCTGAAGCTTTAAGATGAATCGGATTCATCTAGAATGGGGAGGCCAGCTCCAGCCTTATCCCTCCAAGACCTGCCTCCATTTTGCTGTCTTCAATTCCCACTTGCAATCTTAACTGGACATGGTTTCATATTACTCTCAAAATGAATTTCCCATAAATGATGCTTCCATCAGATCACCTACAGACTCCCCACGGCCCGCATTATGAACTCATTCACTTTCCTGCATTTTCTTCTGCAGTTTCCTACCCCCAGCACCACACTTCCTGTTCTCCTATTCCCAACCCTGTCCCGTTCCAGCCTCCTTAGCTACTGCCCCTGCATGGAAAGCCTGAACCCTCTCCTGTAGCACTGCCATGCACTCCATGAAGCCACAAGCCATGGAACTCCTGCTCCATGGATGTTCCAATCCCCGCAACACCTGTGTCACCCAGAACCTCCACTGCTCTTTTAAGTCTTCAATCCCATGCCATCTGAAATATTCCTCTATTGTGTACGGGTGTGTTATTGCTGCTTCCTCAAATGTGAACCCCTTGATTAAGTCGCACTCCCACCGTGCTTCTCCCGGCCCCTGCCCCCTTAGAGCCTGCAGCAGTGCTGGCGCACAGGAAGGGCTTGAAGGGGTCTGTAGGAGCAGGAAATAAATAAGCTGCTTGGGAACAGGGACAAGTCTTCTACTTCTCAAGTATGCACATATCCCAAGGATGAGTTTGTTCACTGTGGATACTTAATTAACACTGGCGGATAAGCTGACTGAGCAACGTGAGAGCAGTGGTTCCCAAACCTAATTACAGGATCACCGCTTTCTTTCTTAAAATACAGACTGCTTATTTTTATCACAGACCTAGTGACTCAAGACTCTCCATGAATCTGTATTGTAAGCTGCCCAGAGGCTCTGATGCAGTGGCCTGGCTTTTGGAAACCATCAGGCACCAGGACTGGCCACCCCGAGGGCCTTCTTACCTCCCTCAAAAACATACCACTCCATGAACCTTGGCACCTCATGTGCAGCACGCCTCACGACGGTCCCCCCTCAGCCATGGGAGGAAAGGGCCCAGTCCTGCCCCTTCCTCTTCAACCAGAGCAAGGAGCACCAAAAGGATACTCTCGGGCATTTTCCACCAGGGGTCCCTGCCCGGACACTAACATCCGCTTCCCGTGGTACTGTGAGAAGAGCTTCATGGGGCTGTGAGAGAGAATAACTTGGTCTGGCTCCACCTGTAGGGACAGCCAGGGGACACAGAGCAGAGAGAGCAGAGAAAGACACACAGTTGAAGGAAAATAATGAGAGACAGGTGGCAGTTTCTTTCACCTAGGAAGGAAAAAAAAGAAAATGCCCAGAAAAAGAAGGGGGTTAAAAATCCACCCTTCCTAGCTTCTAGAAAGCATCCAAACAGGTGTGAGCGCTACCTGCCTGACTTGGCTCTTGCCACACAAACAAGCAAGGAGGAAACGCCATCGGTCAAGGCTCTGACACCACCGATCCTGTCCTACTCTGCCCCTGTGGAGCACAAGGCCTGTGTGCACGTTCTCGGTCACTGCCACAGAAACCTGCCTCTCATCATTGACTGTTTTTAGTTCTGCTTAGAGACTTGGCTTTTCAACACTTATACTAACTACAACAATGCAGCCTTTTCTCAGACTGTTGTGTTTTTTTTTTGAAACCCCTCTGGAAACCACAGAAGGGAACCAGTTTGATGCCTTTACTTCCTTCATTCATCCCCAAGCAGGTTTACCCTGTCAATCATCCACTCTATTTACTCTCTTGGTTCCAAAGTGTTATTTCCAAAAACCACACCCACCCTTAACAAAGAAGAATGAATGTGCCAATGTGGGGATACACGTGGAGTTGAAGTGGGTGAAGAGGGACTGCTCTGGGGGACAGCGCAGTGTGCCTCTTATTCATGAGACACAGGGCTATTACTTCAGGGTCCCACCTGGTGTCCACAGAGTTAGAAAAATGTGGCCCTTGTTTCCAGAGGCTGACAATCCACAAGAGACAAGCCTGATGCCCAGGAGAAAAGAAATGGATACAAAGACAGTAGGTTGAAACTGCCAGCTCCATGGGCAGGATTTCTGTGCTCAGTGAATATGAAGACATAAACAAGAACCCTGTTGATGAGGCTCTATGCATGGGCTGGCTTGAACTTCAAGTTGTGTTTCCAGCAGTGTCAAAAGATTTGTACTGACCCAACTGGCCATTCCCTCACACCTATCAGCACTGTACTCCAGCCCAGGGGAGAAGGCTTAGTCAGGGCTGGAGTGGGGGTCCCCATGAGAACGAGGTCCGTGGACTTTCATGTCTCTGGCTGTCTCCTCACCTTAAAGCCCAGCAGGGCTGACAGCTCCTGGGCTTTGCTGTCTTGTAAGATGTTCCCAGCATTTGTGACAAAGACCACAGGCACCCGCAGCTGCCCCTGGGCATTCAGCAGCCTGCGGAAGGCGTCCAGGGCGGCAGGGATCACTCTGTGGCCCCGCACCAGCACTCCATCGATGTCCAACAGGAACCCAAAGGTAGGCAGGCTCTGCAGACGGAGGAGAGAGCAGCCACTGCCTGAGTCAGGAGGCAGGGAGAGGGAGCGAAAGACCCTGACAAAGGGGGGCTCTGCATCTGCTCTCAGTAAAAATGAGATATGGGAATAGACAGTGCAAATCCATCTATAACAAAGAATTAGTCCTGTTTCATGTGTTTTTAAACATATAACTATTTTGTTAAAATTTTTTTCTATATAATTAACATAAAGGAATTTTTAAATTGGAAGATAGAGACATTCAAAACATAATCTTAGCACTTTAACACAACCAATTAATATTTTCCTTTCATCTCTTGTTCTAGTCGTCATGTAGCTACAACTACACTTTACACGTGCAATTTTTCATCTTGTTCTTTTTGCTTGATATACAAGCATTTTTATCTGTTACAATAGCCTGCATAACCATCTTTTTAAATTTTATAACAACACACACGCAGCTTAAAAACAACTATAGATGATATAAAAATTTTAAGTTTCTTGCCTCCTTCTTCCACCGAATGCTATTCCCTCTCACATATTTTCCAGTAACGTTTTATGAATATATAATAAAAATTTCTTATTTTTTAACTAACACACAAATGGTATTATGTTATACTTTCTTTTCCATCTTCCCTTTTTTTAGTTGGTATCCCTTGGTTATCTTTCCATATCAATACATCATTTCTGGCTCCATAATACTCGTATACTGAGTGAATAATCTACTAACATTGTTTCCCCTATTTTGGACCTGTAGGGTTTTCTACATTTTTGCTACTATAAATACTGCTGTAAAAAACCTCTTCATGCTTACTGATTTTTTCACATTATGAATTTTTCCTTGAGCTAGATTCTTTATTCTTAAAAATCAGTCGAAAGAGTACAAATATTTTAATGACATAACACCTCCTGACAAACTATTTTCTAAAAACATGTACCAACTCACGTGGCCACTAGTAATGCCCTTTTACCCTTGCCAATATTGATTTTTACATGTATCCAAAAATTTGTTAATTATCAAACACCTTAATTTAAAAGTTAAAAAAAATAGTATCTCTCGGCCATAAAAAAGAATGAAATCTTACCATTTGCAACAACATGGATGGACCTAGAGAATATTAAGTGAAATAAGTCAGACTGAGAAAGACAAATACCATATGATCTCACTTACATGTAGAATCTAAAGAACAGCATAAACAAGCAAACAAAACAGAAATAGACTCAGAGTTACAGAGAACAAACTGATGGCTGCTAGATGGGAGGGGGCCAGGGATGGGGGAGAAGGTGAAGGGATGAGAAAGTGCAAATTAGTCGTCACAATATAGTCACAGGGATATGAAATACAGTATGGGGAACATAATCAATTATGTTGTAAAGATGCCTGACCACTGCGCTGTACACCTTAAGCTGAAGCTGAATAATATTGTATGTCAACTATAATTTTATATATATATATATATATATATATATATATGCATGGGATGTGGAGTACAGCACAGGGAATAGAGTCAATGGAATTGTAACAGCTATATACAATGTCAGAGCGGTAGTAGACTGGGGGAGGGGGGTTATCACTTTGGGAGGGGTGAAATGTCTATTATATTGTTTTGTACACTTGAAATAATGAATAAATAAATAAAGTGAATTCCAATGATAATAATAATAATAATAATAATAATGTTGTAAAGATCATGTAAGGTGCCAGATGGGCACTGGACTTATCAGAGGGATCACTTCATAGACTGTGTAGGTGACTGACCTCTGCGCTGTACACCTGAAGTTGAAGTTGAATAATATTGAATGTCAACTATAATTAAGTATACACACACACACACACACACACACACACACACAGAGCATAGGGAATATAGTCAATGGTATTATAACAGCTATATATGATGTCAGAGGGGTAGTAGACTGGGGGCGGTTATCACTTTGTGAGGGGTGTAAATGTCTATTATGTTGCTTGGCACAACTGAAACTAATTAAATAAATAAATAGTATCTCATTTCTTAGATTTATAAAGTTGAACACTGTTCTTTTTTTAAAAAATTCATTCCATTTCTTATTTTATAAACTGTTAACATACGAGACGTTTTTTAATTGTCAAAAAAAAATTCAACCTAACCTTGTTTGCTATTCTCCTTTTTCGGTGCCAAGTGAAGCAATTCCTACGGCACACACCTACTCTGCACATAGGCCTCCTCTGTAAGGAGTAACCCGAAACAGACAAACTGAGCTCCAACTCCTCACTTTTTAGCTGGGGTGAAAGAATAAACAAGTCTAGGAAACACAAAGTCACTAAAATGGCAGCACTTCCACAAGTGCAAATCAATCCTAAGTATTTAAGTTCTAAGTAAAGAGAGGTCGTTTTTAGAAGAGGGCTCTGAGCTAGGCAGTGAGAGATCTGAACACATGCACTCATTGACAAGCATCTATCAGAGCCCCATCAGTACCTGCTGGACAGACAGACAGAAGTGGCCCCACCAACACAGCTCAATGGGGAGACACAGAGGCAGCACACAGCCTCTACACGAGCATACATTCAGAGAAGAAGGGACATTAAGGGGCTCTGACAGCCTGCCTCAGGGGGACCTAACCCACAGCAGATAGGGAGGACTGGCCACCACAGATATCCAGGCCAATATAAGGAGCTTGAAACAGGAAAATGGCATCATCAGACCTGTGCTGTTGAAAAATCTTGGCTGCAGGGTGAAGAATAGATTGAGTAGACTGAGGAGAGTCAAGGTGAAAGACACCACTGGGGCCCACTGCAATCCAGGACAGAGATGATGGTAGCTTTAACTAGGTGGTGGCGACAGGAATGGAAAGAAGGGGCAGGTCAAACACAAGAGACAGAACAGCCAGGCCTGGTAACAATCAGGTGCAGGGGCGGAGGGACGGACTCCCAAGCTCTTTTTGGCCTGGGAACCTGGGAGGGTGGATGCTGGTATCACTCACTGACCCAAGGAACTCTGGAGGAGCAGCAGCTCGGTGGCTGGTGGGCAGATACCCGCTTCAGGCCTGCAGGACAGGCAGTGGAGCTATCAGCACTGGACAGAATGTCCAGGAGAAGAAAATCTGGAAGGTCTCAGCTCTCAGAGGCAGCTGCAATTTGGGAGGGGTGAGGAGAGCCTGAGAAGCACAAGCACAGAAAGCAGAAGTGAGGCTCATAGAGAACCAGAGAGAACACCTCCGTTTAAGGACAAGCCATGTAAGAGCAGCCAGCAGAAGAGCAGAGGAGCAGTAGTCAGCATGAGCAGGGAAAGAAAGGGGGGTGGGGGGGGGGGGCAAAGGAAGGCCACAGATGAGTTTGTGGAACAAGGAAAACAGGAAATGGAGTGACTGCAAAGTAATGATCCTATCTCCCCTCCACCAAACAGGGAAGACCACGCAGGGAGGAGGTCCTCCAGCTCCTTCCTGCTCTTCCACAGAGCCTCCCAGACTCAGGCAATGACAGCTTCAGTGCCAAGGGGAAGGTGGGAAGGGACACTGGGAAAATAGGAGGAAACCAATAAGAGAGCACTTCTGACCAGCAGCAAACAGAGTTGCCAGGGAGAAACTTGTCAGGTCTCACACACCACGCGTGAAATGCCTAAACAATCAGGATCTCTAAGTCGGCGCCAACTGCTGGTCCTGTCGCCCGGGACCCGTCGATGGCACTGAGCACTGAGCTAGACATACAACAAAGGGATTTTTATTGAGTCCTTGTGCCAGCACTCTGGGGGTGGGTGTCACTGCCCCCCAATGACATTGCCTACATAAAGGGGCCTGGTTTATGGATGGTGCTCATTATGTATTCACTGGATAATCTGACTGGATGAATAAAAAACCAAATTCAGAGAGAATAACTAGTCAAAAGTGACCTAGTTTACACGTGCTAAATTCAAAATTCAGCCTCACACTGAGCTTGCAGCAGTCGGAGCTCTTCAGTGGCCCAGATGGCAACACCTCAAAGCAAGGAAGGGATCCAGGAGGTACCAAGTCGGCCCACACCTCCCACCTGCTGCCAGTCCCCAGCCACGTGAGTTCTGGTTCTTCTCTGTATTCAGTGTACTCGTGCACCCAATGGCTCTCAAGGATCTCTGCAGCCCATCCCTGTTTCTCCACAAACCCCACTAAAATGAGGGTCCTAACCTGAGGTCCACAGACAGATTTCAGGGTGGCTGTAAAAGCCCTTAAAACTCTATAGATTTTTTCCGGGGCGAAGGAACCATAGCTCTTTTCCAATTCCATCATCTTATTCTTCTCAAAGAGAATCACCACGCAGGTCTAAAGGAAGAGGGGGTATGATCTGCCTTCAAACCCCCAAAGCTGGCACAGTGCTTAGACCCTGTAGGTGCTCAGTAAAGGTTGACTAAATGTTGCATGTCCCAAAGGATGAAAGGTTAGGGCACTTTCCCCTCAGGCACTTCCTGACCACCCTACCCCTGCCAAGGGAAAAAGAGTCAGTGTCTCTTAGAAGGTCATTCCCTGGAGGTAAGGCCTGTGTCATTCTAGCCTACATCTGCCTTTTCTCTTGTGCAGTGTGAACATGAGTATACTGTTCTGAAAGTGTAAATATAAACCTCATTTGCCCAAATTTTGAGACAATCAGAGAAAATTTTTAAAAGACTAGATTTTAAGTAATATTAAGGAATTACTAATATTGTTAGGTATGATAATGGCATTGTGATTGTATTCAAAATGTCCTTATTTTCTTAGAGATACACATAGAAGAATTTACGGTTGCAATGACACGCAATCAGGTATTTGTTTTAAAATCTTAGAGCCACACACACAAAAAAAAGGGTTGGAGGAAGAGATGAGCAAAATGTTAATAACTGCTGAGTCTGGAAGATGGATCAATGGAGTTCACAATACAGTTAAGTCTTCACTTAACATCATCAACAAGTACTGGCTTTAAGCAAACAGCTTACAATGAAACCAATTTTACCAAAGACTAATTGATATTAACAAGAGTTAAGTTCCGGGGGCCGGCCAAGTAGCTCAGTAGTTAAAAGCATGAGTCTGAGCAACAGGGTCGCCTGATTCGATTCCCACATGGGCCAGTGAGCTTAGCCCAAGCTGAGCTGCCAACAGGTGGCAGGATGGTTCAGCTGGTGAGAGCACGTGCTCCTAACAACAAGGTTGCTGGTTCGACTCCCAAATGGGATGGTGGGCTATGCCCACCCACAACTAAGATTGAACACAGCACCTTGAGCTGAGTGGCCATGAGCTGCTGACAAGCTGCCGACGAGAGGCCAGATGGCGACTGGACTTGGAGCTGAGCTAGCTGTGCCCTCCACAACTAAGATTGAAGGACAACATCTTGGCTGTTCCCCTTCCCCAATTCCCCATTAAATTCTTAAAAAAAAAAAAAAAAAAAGAGTTCCAACAGCACCTCATCAACCTTGTAACAAAATGATGTTATTCGAGAATCTGCTGTATTATTCTGGTTTTGGATTTCTGAAAACTTATAGTTAAAAAAAAAAAACAGTTGATGACTGCAAAATTTAATGGTCTTAAGCAGTCTTAGTTTAATGGCCTTAGCTTTGACTATTCTAGTCACAAGATTTGCTCTCTTAGATAGAAGAATCCTCAGTCCCTGCTACTTAGAAAAGGAAGGTTTTCAGGACAGTTTAGCAATATCCTTGAGGGTCCCTCATCTATAACTATAGAGTACTAATCACTACCTCCCACCCTCAGGAGAACATACCTAGAGACCATGCACTTTCATTCAACATAGAAGGTGAAGGTACACATCAACTAGACCAAATGTGCCACTCAAACGCAAGATGTTGATAACAGAGGAAACTGGTAAGAGGGACGCATATATAGCACTTTTCTTTCTGCTCAATTTTTCTATAAACCTAAAACTGCTCTAAAAAAATAGTCCATTACTTTTTTTTTTAAGTGAAGGTATAAAAAAAGAAACAAAAAAGAGAAGAAAAAAAGAAAAAAGTGAAGGTACCTACAGAAAGAACAAAGGGATCATTTTTTTCTTACTTCTTTTCCATTTTTCTTTTCATTCTCTAATCTGTATTCTGATTTTTCTTTTTGATTTTTTAAAACTAGTCCTGGGTATTGGTCCATATCCTCTAATTAAATTTCATATGGTGGCAGTGGTAAAATGTGTGGTTTCAAGATTCATTTGAAATGAAAGGACTACTGAGATGTTGCTTTGTGTCTGCTTCTTATCTAGAACAGCATTACAACTATAGTCCATTTCACTGTCTCCTCCAACACTTTCCACATTTGAGATAACTTACGATATGCCAGTCACTGTGCAAAGTACTCTACATTTATCACAAAAAGTACCATACATATAGTCTCGCAAAAACACTGCATGGTAAGCAAGACCCCCATTACATATATTGGGAAACGGAAGCTTATAAAGCTAGTAATTTGCCTTAGGTCAAACAGCCAGGAAATGGTACAGGCAGGATTCAATTCTAAAGCTAACACTCTTAAATTCTATGATATACTTCATCCCTTTCTTCCCTTTTTCTATGCTTTCTATCAGAAAGGTCACTCAGAGATATTTCAGGACCCCCCAAAACTCTAGAATCAATAGTTATAAATGAGAGCAATAACTGTTTATGTCATTAGTTTACAAAGTCCTTTTATCAACATATTCTCATTCCATGCTTCCAGCTTGGCCACTTTTAGCTCTGTGACCCTGGCCAAGTCACCTCACTTCTTTCAATCTTAGCTACTCCATATGCAAAATGATTACAATAACACAGTTGTTAAGAGCTAGAACTCTGGCACCAGATTCTGCCACTTATCAGATGTGTGCCCTTGGTCAAGTTGCTTAACCTCTCTGTGCCTCAGTTCCTCCATCTGTAAAATGGGAAAAATGATAGTACTTACCTCACAGAGTTGAAAATTATACGAATTAATAGTTGTAAAGTACTGAGAATAGTGTTTGGCACTAAGTAAATGCTAAGTGTTTTTTTAAATAAAAAATTTAAAATACATCAAAGGGCTACCGTGAAAGCGTTATATAGATGTAAAATATTATCCCTATTAAAAACGAACATTGTAGGGGCCGGCCGAGTGGCGCGATGGTTAAGAACTGGCTTGGGCCGCCAGAGGGCCCCGGTTCGGATCCTACATATGAGGGCCAAGTGACACTTCCCTCCACAGCTAAGATGCTGAACAACAGCTCAACCTGGAGCTGGGTTGCCATGAATCACTGGCGACAGCGTAGGCTGCAGCCCCTGTGGCAGTGTGAGCTACATGGGCTACCGTATAAATAAAAAAAATAAAAAAACCGAACATTGTGAATTTAGAAGACAGAGTGATTCCCGTTAAAGAAAAGGCAAAATGGTCCAGGGGAAAGTGAGGGTGAGTGCTAAAGAGTCCTGGCACAGTTGTCTACCAGCTATTTGACCTTTTAAAAAAGTATTAAAGGGCTGACCGACTGGCGCGATGGTTAAGCACTGGCTTGGGATGCCAGAGGGCCCCGGTTCGGATCCCACATATGAGGGCCAGTGACACTGCCCGCCACAGCTAAGATGCTGAACAACAGCTCAACCTGGAGCTGGGCTGCCGTGAGTCACTGGCAACGGTGTAGGCTGCAGCCCCTGTGGCAGTGGGTTGCCATGGGCTACCATGTGTAGCCAGCAGCCAGCGTGAGCGGCCAGCAGCCGCAGTGAGCGGCTGTCCAGAAGCCGGCGACTGATCTGCCTCGCCCGGGAAGAGTGCAATGATGGTGCCAACTTGGGCCAGTGAAGCAACGTCCTCCACAACTAGACTGAAGAACAAAAAGGACAGCAACTTGTCTGTTCCCCTTCCCCCAATTCCCGATTCCCCAGCGCTGTTCCCATCCCCCAATTCCCCAATAAAAATCTTTTTAAAAAATAATAAAATAAAAAATAAATTAAAAAGTATTAAAAACTTGACTCCAAGCTGCAGCTTCCTTCCTTACACCAGCATCACACCCACCTCCAAAGTAGAGAGAATTAGATACCACTGAAGTACCTGGCACAAATTAAGGCGCCTGTGCCAGTTTTCCTCTTGCTCCCCTACACTTACACATAACAGCTGCTCATACAAGAAGGTCCACAAGCGAATGGAAGAAAAGGAAAAAGCTCCCACAAAACCCACATTCATCCCCTTATAGGTACAGCTCCCGGAGGGGAGTCCATTGCGAGTCCCCAAATCTCTTTCCAATGTAGCTGAAAATCAAAACCAAATGGTTCTCAACATGGAATCAAAGAGGAAGTGCAGAAATCACACCCTGACCAGAAAAATAGGAAGAGGAAACTGCGGAGTAACTTGAGTAAGGAAGAGCGGCCAGAGGCCAAGAGGCAATCCTGGTGCGCCTTTTGGGTCTGTTTTGTTCATGCTCCAGCTGGAGTAACTTTTCTTCCAGGACAAAAACACGACAAATCGCCCGAGTCTGGGGGAGGCAGAGCGCGCAGGGGACTTGGTGCTCAAGGCATGAACCAAGCACGCTTGAGGTCACTTGCCTCATCAAGGCCGGGGACGCTGGAGCGGCTCAGCGGGCGACCCTTCCCTTGCGCCGCTCCCGGCCTCACCCCAATTCTTGCGGACCGGCTCACCTGCGCAGTCCTCACCTGAGCGAGGCCCACAGCGTAGCCCTTCCCGGGGCAAAGTCTCCGGAGCCCCACGGCCCCGTGCGCGATCCGTCGCCAGAGCCAGGGCACCGCAGCAACAGCGGAAAAGGAGCCAAACACAGCCATCGGGCCGTCGCTCGAGCGCACGTGCGCACTGCGCTTGTCCCTCCCGGGCCCGCCCCCGCCGCGCGTCCAGAGGCCGGTGGCGCCTGAGGCCTCTCGGGAGTTGTAGTCTCTCCTGCGTGTCCTGGATCACTTCGCCACGCGGGGCGGAGCAGCGAACAGGCTCAAGTTCTGGCCGCTTAGCTTGGTAGACAGAGGCTTGGTGTCAGCAGCCTGGTGTGCCCTGTTAGCGCGGCCTATATACTTGATGACTTCTTGGATCGTAGGTTTCAGACCTAAGTTATTGATCACTTTCGGGGAGGGAACTTATGTGAAGGAACACTAAACCTTGATTACAAGGAGTGTGAGACCAAACTTTTTTTTTTTTTTAAAGATTTTATTGGGAAATTGGGGGAGGGAACAGCGTTGGGGAATTGGGGAAGGGGAACAGACAACTTGCTGTCCTTTTGTTCTTCAGTCTAGTTGTGGAGGACACTGCTTCACTGGCCCATGTTGGCATTGTGATCACTGCATTCTTCCTGGCTGAGGCAGATTGGTGGCTGGCCATTGGACGGCTGCTCACGCGGCTCAAGGCGGCCCACGCCAACTGCCTGCCGCTCATGCTGGCTGCCGGCCACTCACGGTAACTTACGGCAGCCCACTGCAGCCCCATTGCAGCCTAAGCCATCACCAGCGACTCACAGCAGCCCAGCTCTAGGTCAAGCTGTTGTTCACCATCTTAGCTATAAAAGGCACAGCATCACTGGCCCATGTGGGATCTGAACCGGTGGCCCTGCTGCTCAGAGCTTGAGCTCCCAAGCCAACTCTTAACCAACAAGCCATTCGGCCAGCCCAAGACCAAAGTTTCTATTGATGTTCAAGTCCCCAATTAAGGAATGCTTGTCGAATGCCCATTGTTAATTCTTGTATTTTTTCAGTAAATATTCGCTTTAGTCCTCCTTCCTGTTGGGCGCTATGCTAATGCCTAGGGAAACTATATACGTAAGTAATCCACCAAACCTTACACTTTGTAGAATGGTTATATCAGATAGGACTATAATACAAGGTCCTAGAGAGGGGTAGGATAACAAATTAAGCAAACACCTATTGAGCACAGCTGTGTGTTCCCACCACTTGAAATATGTGGAATGCCTCCTTCCAGACCCTTGGCCTATCCCTGGATGTAGTTATACTAAGAATAGATGAACCTACAATGTATGTAACACTAGGAGGAGGAAGGGTGGGGGCATCAGGAATGAACAGGAACTCTGCTAACTCAGAGGTTAGCAATACCCTTCAAAGGCCAAGTTGTTTGGTTTTGTTTTGTTTAAGATCTACTCTCTTAGCAACTTTCAAATAAACAATACAGGATTATTAACTATAGCCACCATGCTGTACTTTTCATCTACAGGACTTAATTTATTTATAACTGAAAGTTTGCTCCCTTTGACCCCCTTCACCCATTTCACCCATCACTTACCCCTGCCTCTGGCAACCACCAATCTGTTCTCTTGTTCTCTGTATCTATGAGGTTAGTTTCAGGGGGTTTTGTTTGTTTGTTTTAGATTCCACATATAAGAGAGTTCATATGATATTTGTCTTTCTCTGTCTGACTTATTTCACTTAGCATAATGCCCTCAAGGACTATCCATGTTGTCACAAATGTTCATTCTCTTTTATTGCTAAATAATGTGTGTATATATGTATATATTTACATATATATTACATATATATATATACACACACATATATATGTATGTCGGGGGGGTACCAAAAAAATGTATACACATTTTAAGATAACACCTCTGTATATACATACATATGTATATATACACCATATTTTCTTTTTTTAATTTATTTTATTTTAATTTTTTAAGATTTTTATTAAAATATAGCTAATATACAATATTATATTAGTTTCAAATGTAAACCATAGTTATTCAACATTTATATACCTAAAGAAGTGATCACCATAAATCCAGCAACCATGTGACACCATACCATATTATCACAATATTATTGACTATATTCCCTATGCTACACATTTCATCCCTGTATCTTATTTGTTTTATACCTGGAAATTTGGACCTCATTCCCCTTCTCCTTTCCCCCCTTTTTAACTTTTCAATTACAGCTGGCATTCAATATGATTTTATTTTATATTAATTTCAGGTATACAGCATAGTGGTTAGACATTTGTATAATTTAAGAGATGATCCCCCTGACTAGCCTAGTACTCACCTAGCACTATAAATAGCTATTACCATATCATTGTAATATGCTTTAAATCCCCATGACTATTTTGTAACTACCAGTTCGTACTTCTTAATCCCTTCACATTTTTCACCATCCCCCAACCCCTTCCCATGTATCATCCCAAAACATCTAGTGCCCATCTGCCCCATACATAGTTAATACAATATTATTGACTATATTCCTTATGCTATACTCTACATCCCCATGATTACTGTGTAAAAACTAATTTGTACTTCTTAATCCCTTCTATTTTTTCACTCATCTCCAACCCCCCTCCCATCTGGCAACCATCAATAAGTTCTCTGTATCTATGAATTTGTTTCTGTTTTGTTTTTTTTTGTTCTTTAGATTTCACTTATAAGTGAAATCACATGGCATCTGTCTTTCTCTGACTCTCCATTCAGCACAATACCCCCCAGGTCCATCCATACTGCCGCAGATGGCTGAGCAATATTCCACTGTATATACGAGGTCAGACCATTAAGTTCATGAACCACCCTAGAAAAAGTGCTACACACCTTATTGCTGAATATCACTACAGTCACCTTTGAAGTACTCCCCTTAGGAAGCTATATACCAACGCCAGTGCCCAGTCCACCCTTCAAAGCAATTTTGGAACTCTTTTTCTGGAATGGCCATCAGAGCTGTCATTGTATTACCCTTGACGTCCTGAATGTCATAAAAATGTCTTCCTTTCAATATTTCCTTTATCTTCAGGTAAACAAAGAAGTCATTGGGGGCCAGATCAGATGAGAAAGGAGGGTGTTCCAATACAGTTTTTTGTTTAAAATAAACTCCCTCACAGACAGTGCCTTGTGAGCTGGTGCATTGTCATGATGCAAGAGGCATAAATTGTTGGTGAAAAGTTCAGGTCATCTAACTTTTTCATGCAGTCTTTTCAGCACTTCCAAATAGTAAACTTGGTTAACTGTTTGTCCAGTTGGTACAAATTCATAATGAATAATCCCTCTGATACCAAAAAAGGTTAGCAACATTGGTGCAACAAGTTCGCAAACTTACCACCTCCTCTTTACCCATTCTTCCATCAACAGACACTGAGGCTGCCTCCATGTCTTGGCCATTGTAAACAACACTGGTATGAACACATGGATGCACACATTCTCTCGAAGTAGTGTTTGGGTTTCTTCAGATAAATATCCAGAAGTGGGATTATTGGGACCTTCTCTGTCTCTTGTTATAGCCTTTGTTTTAAAGTCTGTTTTATCTGGTATAAGTATTGCTATGCCAGCTTTTTAAAAATTTTTTTTCATTTCCATTTTCATGAAATACCTTCTTTCCCTTTACTTTCCATCTGTGTGTGTCTTTCACTCTGAAGTGAATCTCTCGTAGGCAGCATATGTAAGGGTTTGTTTTCTTATCCTTCAGCCTCCTATGTCTTTAGAGTGGAGCATTTAATCTATTTACATTGAAAGTAACTGTTGATAGATATGTAGCTATTGCCATTTTATTATTCATATTTTCTATTTTTTGTTTGTTTGTTTGTTTTCTCATCTTAAAGAAGTCCCTCTAACATTCCTTGTAATACTGGTTTGGTGGTGATGAACTCCTTTAGTTTTTTCTTGTCTGGAAAGCTGTTCTTCAATTCTAAATGATAGCTTTGCTGGGTAGAGTAATCTTGGTTACAGGCCCTTACTTTTCATCACATTAAATATTTTGTGCCAATCCCCTCCAGCCCGCAAATTTCTGTTGAGAAATCAGCTGACAATCTTATGGGGGCTCCTTATAAGCTACTAGTTACCTTTCTCTTGCTGCTGTTAGGATTCTCTCTTTGTTTTTAACGTTTGCCATTTTAGTTATAATGTGTGTTGGTGTGGGCCTGTTTGGGTTCACATTGTTTGGGATTCTCTGTGCTTTCTGGGCTTGTATATCTATTTCCTTTGCCAGGTTAGGAAAGTTTTCAGTCATTATTTCTTCAAATAAATTCTCAATCCCTTGCTTTCTCTCTTCTCCTTCTGATACCCCTATGATGTGACTGTTGTTACACTTGATTTTGTCCCAGAGGTCTCAATCTATCCTCATTTTAAAAAATTTTTTTCTTTTTGCTGTCCTGATTGGGTGTCTTCTGCTACCTTGTCTTCCAAGTTGCTTCCATCCTCTGCTTCATCATCTAGTCTGTTGATGATTCCTTCTAGTGCATTCTCCATTTCAGTTATTGTATTATTCATTGCTGACTTTTTTTATGGTTTCTATGTCCTTTTTTATGCTTGCTATCTCTTTACTGAAGTTCTTACTAAGTTCCTTGAGCATCTTTACAACCATGGTTTTGAACTCTGTATCTGGTAGTTTGCTTGCCTCCATTTTGTTTAGTTCTTTTTCTGAAATTTTCTCCTATTCTTTCATTAGGGACATATTTCTTTGTTTCCTCATTTGGACTGCCCCTCTGTGTTTGTTTCTATGTATTAAGTAGATCTGCCATGTCCCCCAGTCTGGGCCGGGTGACCTTATGTAAGAGGTGTCCTGTGGGGGCCCTAGCACAGGCTTCCTGGTCACTTGTACTGGGTGCTTCCGTAATGTCCCTTGTGTGGGTTGTGTGTTCCCTCCTGTTATAGTTGAGCTTTGGTTGCTATGGGCACATCAGTGGGTGGGATTGACCCTCAGGCTGATTGGCTGTGGGGTTTGGCCATGTCCACAGCTTACAGGATGCTGTGCAAGGGACTTAACCTACAAAGTGGGATTTGCCCTCATGGGCTCTGGTTCCTGTTGAGACTGCCCTTTGGGTATGCCACTTGTGGGGCTAGTTGGATGATGCTCTGCTGTGGTATGAAGCCAGCCTCCAGTTATGTTGGT